CAGGGGTTCCGGAGGCAGTCAGGGGACAGGGAGAAGGGGTGGTTGGACGGGCCAGGGGTTCCCAGGGGGCAATCAGGAAGGAGGGGGGGTTGATGGGGTGGTGGGGGTCAGTCATGGGCAGGGGTTCCGGGGGCAGTCGGGGACAGGGAGAAGGGATGGTTGGATGGGGCAGAGGTCCAAGGGGGGAAGTCAGGAATGAGGGGGGGGTGGATGGGCCAACGGAGGGCAATTGGGGCAGGGGGGGGGGGGGGGGGGGGGAGGGGTGCGGGGCTGGGCCACGACCCCCTCCCTTAACCAGCCCGCCATACAATTTCCTAAACCCAATGCGGCCCTCAGGTCAAAAAGTTTGCCTGCCCCTGCCTTAGAGAGTAACAAGTTTATCTAGGCATAAGCTTTCGTGGGCTAAAACCCACTTCATCAGATGCATGGAATGAAAAATACAGTAAGCAGTATATATATATTACAGCACATGAAAAGATGGGAGTTGCCTTACCAAATGCGGTGTCAGTGCTAACGAGGCCAATTCAATTAAGGGTGGAAGTGGCCTATTCTCAACAGTTGACAAGAAGGGATGAATATCAAGAGAGGGAAAATTACTCTTCCAGCGCTCTTAAAAAAAACCACTTCAACGAGGGGCACAGCTCCCAGCGCTGGGGCACTGTTTACACAGGCGCTTTACAGCGCTGCAACTTGCTGTGCTCGGGGGGTGTTTTTCACACCCCTGAGTGAGAAAGTTGCTTAATGCTTGCACCAAGTAAAACCCCACTCCCAGAGCTTGGCTGAGCTCCATAATGTGGGTGCACAGTTAAGGAACTGTCCTCGATTAATCAAACTGACATCTGCTCCAGTGCAAACACTGGAAACAATCCAATGGTTGCCAAATGGGAAATGTAGAAATGGAAACAGGGATGGCAAGGGTCAGAAACTTGCAATAATAAAATCAGTGCAGAGTAATGTTCTAGAGCAGGGGTTCTCAAACTGGGGGTCACAAGATTATTACATGGGGGGTCACGAACTGTTAGGCTCCACCCCAAACCCTGCTTTGCCTCCAGCATTTATAATTGTATTAAATATATTTAAAAGTGTTTTTAATTTATAAGGGGAGGTCGCATTCAGAGGCTTGCTATGTGAAAGGGGTCACCTATACAAAAGTTTGAGAACCACTGTTCTAGAGAACATGGGGCTCATTCGGGGAATTGCTAAAATGCATCCAAAACCAAAAAGAAATGGTAAGGATCTTGGGGGGGGAAAGGGAGGTATTTTGTTTGAGGCTTTTTTTTTTTAAATAACTGCAACAACAAACACTGGAAGGAAATACTGGAATGAAGCAGATTATTGATTTTTGCAGAGGAGCACATTTTAAACACAGAGGATTCTCGGGCCATCTCATTATATCAGTTGGCAAAAGCAACAACCATGGCAAAAGTGGAAAAGCGTTTCCCTTCTAAATCCCCGCTTTCCCTCGCTCACAATTTTCCAATACAGACACTTTTGGAGTTCAGATTTACCAGGGATTTGGTTTTTGGAGGGAACTTTTGTGACAGTTATTTTATTAAAAGTTATATATAAAATTGTGCCAATACACAAGAACGGCAGCAAATGCAACCGCCAGGGCAGCTCTGCAGAGCGAGCTCACCCAGTGTCACTCGATTCGGGGTTAGCCCGGAGTTCAGTCGATCTCCGCCGAACAACTGCTCAGCATAAAACACATGGGGCCCGATCCCTCGCTGCTCCGACCCAGCGCCCCCTGACACCGCGCGGCCCCGAGCCCTCACCGCTGCGCTGGGCGCGGAACTGCCGCCTTTCCGGACCGCTGGCGCGGAGCGGGCGCTGCACCCACACCCTTTCCATTTGCACACACTGTCCCTCCATGGGCAGCCTGGGGCGAGCCCCGCACCGCTCTGCCCGGGCAAGGCTGGCTCGGCACCGCGCACCTGCCTGGGCTGCAGCCGGCGGTACCGGGGCATCGCGGCAAAGCCCCTGGGCCATCCCTCCGCGCCGTACCTGGGCTGCTGCGGGGCTCCTCACCCGAGGCCCGGTCCGTCCCAGCAGCTGCGCAACCCCCGCCCAGCCTGGGGGCAAGGCCCGGCGCGCTCCGAGCGCACGGACCGGGCTGCAGAGTCACGCGGAGCCCGGACCGGGGCTGTGCCACGCGCTAGGGGACGGAGTACAGCCTGCCCGCGTAGGAAAACTACAGCCCCCACAATGCACCGCGGACGGGGGTGCGCAAGAAGACTACAACCCCCACAATTCACCACGTGGTGCAACTACAGCCCCCACAATGCACTGCACAGAGGTGCGCCTGGAGACTACAGCCCCCAAAATGCACCGCGAGTGGTGGGGGGCGTGTGGGGAGACTACAGCCTGCACAATGCACCGCGAGGTGGGCTGCATGGGGAGGCTGCCCATACCCAGGGCGCAGCGAGCAGGGCGGTGTCCTAAATCCCCTGTAAGCTGGGCGGGCGCACAGCAGCCTATTTAGCGCCGTGCAGGTAGGGTGACCAGACAGCAAGTGTGAAAAATCGGGACAGGGGTGGGGGGTAATAGGAGCCTATATAAGAAAAAGATCCAAAAATCAGGACTGTCCCTATAAAATCGGGACATCTGGTCACCCTACATGCAGGCACTCAGGGAACCCGCCCACAGACATGCCAAAACCGTGAAAAAACGCAGAAGTTGGGCTTCTTTTGGCTTTAGTGGCTTGGGAGTTGCTTGTCGGCTAGTTTTTGGCTTGTAGCGTGTTGCTTCTTTTTTTTTTGATCCACTCCTGGCAAGCAGGGGCAGGTGTGCACAGTGGGCCCACCACAGTCCCAGACTGCAGGCCGGGGAATCTAGTTACCTAGAGTGTTGGGGTTCTTAGGGATTGGCTTGTTTTGAAATGGGATTAAGCTGATTTTTGGCTTACTGTGAAAGTTGGGGTGCTTATTTACTGCGTGAAAGTTGGCAACTGTGCCCGGCCCGGCCCAGGGGCGCCTCTCCCCTCCTTCCCCCTTCCCAGCCCAGGTGCTGCTGCAGGGAGAGAGAGCTGGGAGAAGTCCTCTCGCCTCCGTAGCCCCAGAGCACCCTCCTTCACCCCAAACCCCGCATCTCCAGCCCCACCCCAGAGCCCACACCCCCAGCTGGAGCCCTCACCCCCCCCACATACACACGCCCCAGCCTTGAACCCCCTGGCCCCACCCCACCCCAGAGCCCGCACCCCCAGCCTGAGCCCTCACACCCCTGCACTCCAAACCCTCTGCCCTAGCCCTGAGCCCCCTCCCACACCACATGAATTTTGTTATGTGCACCAATATGGAGGTGATGTGTCACCCATCACCTCCATATTGCTGCACATAACAAAATTCATTCCGCATATGCATGGGAAAAATTAGAGGGAACATTGGTGGTGTCCTGTGTGGGGTGAAGCTGGGAGCGGTTGCACCAGGGTTGGGGGTCATCCTGTGCCTGAGGAGCCAGTCACATGGCGGCTAGGAGGGTGTCCTGTGCCCAGGTGAGGTAGTGTTGCCAACCCTCTAGGATTGCCCTGGAGTCTCCAGGAATTAAAAATTAATTTTTCATGAAAGATTATGTCATGCGATAAAACCTCCAGGAATATGTCTAACCAAAATTGGCAACCTTAAGGGGGGGCAGTCACACCGGGGCTGGGGGGCATAGGTGCCAACTCCATGGGTGCTCCAGGGCTGGAGCATCCATGGGGAAAAAATGCTTAGCACCCACCGGCAGCCCCCCATCAATGCCTCTCCCTTCCCCCAGCGCCTCCTGCCCGCCAGCGGGCCATGCCAATCAGTGCCTCCCTGTCCTTCCCTCACTCCCTTCGAGCACCTACCGCCTGCTACGAATCAGCTGTTTCATGGCATCTGGAGGTGCTGGGGGGAAGAGGAGAGCAGCGAGGACTCAGCACGCTTTGGGGAGGGGGCGGAACTGGATGGGGAAGAGGCAGTGCGGGAAGAGGTGGAGCGGGGGCTGAGTGGGGGTGGGAAGAGGCGGCGTGGGGCATTGGGGGAAGGAGTGGGGGGGCTGGGCGGAGCCAGGGGGAGCACCCTCTGGCAGATTAGAAACTTGGTGCCTATGACTGGGGAGGCAGTCACACCAGGGCCGGGGAGGCATCCTGTACCGGGCGGGGCAGTCACAGTGGGGGAGGAAGTATTTTTCACACAACGCACAATTAACCTATGGACTCATTGCCAGGGGATGTTGGGAACTAAGTTCCCTCTAAGCTGCGTGGCCACGCAGTAGCCTATTAACCGCTCCGCTGGCGCTCAGGGCTGCGGCGGGGAGAGATGCCTCTCCCCCAGCCCTGGACCTGCCGTGGCGGGGCGAAGCGCCCCTCCCCCGGTCCCAGCCCAGCTCTGGACGTGCCGCAGCCGGGGGAGAGGTGCCTCTCCCTCCCAGCCCAGGTGCTGCTGAGTCCTCTCTCCCTGCTGTAGCTCCAGGGCAGCCTGCACCGCAAACCCCTCATCCCCAACCCCACCCCAGAGCCCGCAGCCCCAGCTGGAGCCCTCCTCAGCCCCCCGCACCCCAACCCTCTGACTCAGCCCTGAACCCCTCATCCTTAGCCCCACTCAGAGCCTGCACCCCCAGCCGGAGCCCCCACCCCTCCGCACCCCAACCCTCTGCCACAATCCTGAGCCCCCTCCCACACTTCAAACCCCTCAGCCCCACCCCTGCCACATAAAATTTTGTTATGTATACCAATATGGAGGTGATGTGTCAGACTCTGTGCCATTATCTACTTTTTTTTAATCAATTGTTTTTCCTTCCACAAAAAATGTGTTTATTTAATTTTAACATAAGCAATTTCATTTCTTTTATTAAGAATGGGAATTTATTTTTCTAATTATTTTGGCATTTATGTTTACCGATCACAGTCATGCACATGACTCACTAACATTTGACTCCATCGCTACTATTAGTATCAGACTTTGAACCATATTTATTTTCATACAAATTTTAAGTTATTTTACAGATATAATTAAAATTGCAATTTGAAAATAAGCAACCTTCATCTGCCCAGTGTCTAAAGTTATGTGTTTAGCTATTTTTTTTAAACTGGCACTGCTGAGGTGAGTACAAGCTAAATTTACATTCTAGAAGGATACTATTATTTGATTGTACCACTTTAAATAATGAATCACAAAACACAATATGGTAATAAAAATATTATTGATAATTACTCCAGCCAGGACAGGTTAGGCATTTTAAAACTCACTACTCAAAGAATTAACTTTAAGCATGAGAGAAATAAAATTATGAAATGCACAGACCAGTCAAAAAACTAAAATAACCGAACTTTGAAAGAATAAAATTACAGAGAATCTTTGTACATTTTGATGGGAAGTAAGAAGAAGTAACACCACCACCACGTGTGAGAGGGAGTGTTGGGGGAGTGTGTGAGAGAGACTCTGTGTCAGTGTGTGTGTGTGTGTATGAAGGGGGAGGTGTGTGTGGAAGACTGTGGATATGTCTATACTTACCATTTAAAGTGCAAAAAGTCCCTTTTTTGCGCTAAAACCACGGGAGCGACTGTGACGGGTTGGATCACAGAAACCCCCCTGGGAGCTGCCACCCGATGTGCCAAGACTACTTCTATCCCTGTTTTCCCTGCCAGCTCAGGTCTCCAGCACCCTGTCTTGCTGAGCCAGACACTCCCGTCTGCTCCAACACAGACCCAGGGTCTGAATTACTTGCCCCAAAGCTGCAGGTTTACCTGAAAACAGCTCACAGAAGTGTGCTTGTCTTTAGCACTCAGTGCCCAACTCCCAATGGGGTCTAAACCCAAATAAATCCATTTTACCCTGTATAAAGCTTATGCAGGGTAAACTCATAAATTGTTTGCCCTCTATAACACTGATAGAGAGATATGCACAGTTGTTTGCTCCCCCAGGTATTAATAAATACTCTGAGTTAATTAATAAGTAAAAAGTGATTTTATTAAATTCAGAAAGTAGGATTTAAGTGGTTCCAAGTAGTAACAGACAGAACAAAGTAAGTTACCAAGCAAAATAAAATAAAATGCGCAAATTTATGTCTAATCAAACTGAATACAGATAATCTCACCCCCAGAGATGCTTCAGTAAGTTTTTTCCTCAGACTGGACACCTTCCAGGCCTGGGCACAATTCTTTCCCCTGGTACAGCTCTTGTTCCAGCTTAGGTGGTAGCTAGGGGATTCTTCATGATGGTTCTTTTCTCCCTCTTTGTTCTGTTCCACCCCTTTATATATCTTTTGCATAAGGCGGGAACCCTTTGTCCCTCTGGGTTTCCACCCTCCTCACTGGAAAAGCACGAGGTTAAAGATGGATTCCAGTTCAGGTGACATGATCACATGTCACTGCAAGACTTCATTACCCACTTGCCAGCACACACATATACAGGAAGACTCACAGGTAAAACACAGCCATCTACAGACAATGGTCCTGGTTAACGGGAGTCATCAAGATTCCAAACCACACTTTGCATAATTACAATAGGCCCTCAGAGTTATATTTTATATTTCTAGTTTTAGATACAAGAGTGGTACATTTCTACAATAGGATGATCACACTCAGTAGATTATAAGCTTTGTAATGATACCTTACAAGAGACCTTTTGCATGAAGCATATCCCAGTTACATTATATTCACTTATCATATTTTTATAAAACCATATAGACTGCACAACGTCACAGCGTCTACACTTGTTAATGACTTTTTGCAGTGAAACTCAGAAGTTTCACCACAAAAAGAAAACCACCTTCGCGAGAGGTGTACAGCTCTTACCGCTGTTCTTTTCGCGCTGCTGTGAAAGTAAAGACACTTCCACCCGTGTAAACATCCTTTGGCCTCCGGAGGCTATCCCACAGTTCCAAAAGTGACCACTCTGGCCAGCATCTCCGCTGCTCTGATGCAAGGACATCTGCCCCTCCCCCTGTAAGCCCTGGGAAGTTTGAAGCTCCCTTTCCCTTTGTTGGTAGATATGGTGGGGAAAGCAGACAGACAGCAGGAGGTTTTTAAAAAAATGCCACGGAAGAAATCAGGAAGTAATAGGGCTCCTGAGACATGAAGCAGGGCAGCACAGGGCACTGAGCAGGGACCCAGAATGCCTTCCGCACACCCCCCCTTCCCACAAGATATCGAGAGAGCTGCACTGTGGGATAGCTGCCCTACAGCGCTGCTCTCATCGGGGATTGA